AAAAAAAAAGAGTGTGCTGAAAAGAAAGGAGAAACCTCAGGCATAAAGTAGTAATGAGTTGTGTCTACTAAGAGACGCAGGGAAAAAAAGAGAATAAGATTTGAAAAGTAGATAGCCTATGTGGCAGAGAGCTAATTATCCTGACATCTAATCTTCCAGTAGGCTAACAGTTAGTTCACCTGCTAACAATCATCTAGGACTGAGGTGCAGAGATATTTTTAAATGTGCCACTTTCATAATCCAGCGTGCCTACATCTGATAGTCAAACTCTTAAAGACTAGCTGTTAGAGCAAAATATGAAATACTCTGTTCAGCTCTGTGCTTTAGATGCTAGGAGGTTATTAGCAGTAATAAGCCCCTTACCACCATTTAAATGAGTTCCTGAAACTTGCTGCTAGACTTTGAAGGCCTACAGCACCTCTGAGTGAATCACCCAATTCTTTATTCTTCATTGCTATTTTTATCTGATGAGATTTAATGGTTTGAAGGCTGGATGTGGTGGCTCATGCCCATAATCCCAGGACTTTGGGAGGCTGAGGCAGGTAGATCTCCTGAGGTCAGGAGTTTGAAACCAGCCTGGCCAACATAGTGAAACCCCATGTCTACTAAAAATATAAAAAATTAGCTGGGTGTGGTAGTGGGCACCTGTAATCCCAGCTGCTCGGGAGGCTGAGGCAGGAGAATCGCTTGAACCCAGGAGGTGGAGGTTGCAGTAAGCCAATATTGTGCCATTGCATTCCAGCCTGGGCAACAAGAGGGAATCTCCATCTAAAAAAAAAAAAAAGTTTTGGTGGTTTGGAAAAGTGGTCTGGGCAGAAAGTTTGAAAGATGTGGATGAAAAAAAATAGAGAGCAAGACCTAGGTAGGGTTCTGGCTCCAGAACACATTCTAATTGACTTTGCTATCTTGGTCATTTAGGTAAATTTATAAAATTACACCATTCCAGGCACTCTACAGGAATTAGCTCGTAAAGTTCTGGAACAAGTCTATGAAATAGGTTCTGTCATTATTGGTCCTGCCCAAGGTCACAAAAGAAGTAAACCAGAGGGATCTAATTTGTGCCCGGCCTTTCCTCTCTGAGGAGTCCATGCCCTCATGTACTTTGCTATATGGCATTTTTGAGCTTGTCTGTAATTACCATGTGTAAGCAAGGTACTAGACACTACTAGACACTGCTGGACACAGGGCCACATCTGAGGATACGGTGCAGCCCAAACAGACATGGCCTCTGACTACATGAGTCTTACAGTCCAGAAGCAAAAGCAGATATTAAGCAAATACTTAAAAATTCTTAAAAGATCTCAAGAGTGCAGAGTTCTGAAGAAGGAAGGGGCATTTGTTTTTTTTTCTCAATAAAACAAGAAAACTAAATTAATACAATCTTCCTTCCAACTCTTATTATTCTCTTCTTTTCAGAAATTTGCAGCCCCAAATAGAATATAAGCCAACAATACAAATTATTAGACCTACAAAAATTCTGTTAAGTTCACAAAGCTTGTGCTGAGCTATGAAAGCCCCATGTTCTTCAATTTCAACAGCTCTCTTTATTTTTAGGCTTTCTTGGAGGGTTCTACTAGGTTTGTTCTAACTCGTAACATTAACAGAGTGCCTTAGAGTTGACCAACATTTTCCCATGTCCTAGAGTCTTCCCAACCATCTTGTAAGGTGGGTGCTGGTCCCTCCGTTTGTGAGTTATAATAGTGTTCACTGAGCACTGTTATGTGCCAGACCCTGAGCTATACACTTCACATACTTTATCGGTCAATCTTTATACCAATCTTCTTGTATTAAGGATGTAAATATCATGATACATAAAGAATTCGAGGCTTAGAGAAATAATTTGTCTGAAGTCTAACAGCTGGGAGGTGGAGAATCAGGGATTGTCTGCTCCATAGCCTGAACTCATGGCACCTATTGGGAGATTTGTCTTCCCAAGGTCATGCAGCCAATGAAGGGCAGTGTCAGTATTTGAACTTGAGCCTTTTGTTCTTTTCTCTATAACCCAGACACCTCTATATACCTATGTCTACTTTTGTGGTTTGAGCACATAGGCTAGTGGAAAGATATTTTGAAGTATCCAAAGTGTTGATAAATTGAGGAATATGTTCTACTTTATTTTAAAATGACAAGGCAGGAATCAGTAGGCAAGACAGCCAAATAGGAACAGCTCCACTCTCCAGCTCCCAGCAAGATCAATGCAGAAGGCACCAGTGAGATCAATGCAGAAGATGGCTGATTTATGCATTTCCAACTGAGGTACCAGGCTCATCTCATTGGGACTGGTTAGACAGTGGGTGCAGCCCACGGTGGTTGAACAGAAGCAGGGTGAGGCATTGCATTACCTGGGAAGTGGAAGAGGTTGGGGAACTCCCTCCCCTAGCCGAGGGAAGCCATGAGGGGCTGTACCATGAGGAATGGTGCATTCCAGCCCAGATACCATGTTTTTCCCATGGTCTTTGCAACCCATAGACCAGGAGATTCCCTCAGGAGCCTACACTGCCAGGGCCCTGGGTTTCAAGTACAAAACTGGGTGGCTGTTTGGGCAGACACCAAGCTAGCTGCAGGAGTTTTTTTTCATACCCCAGTGGCAGCTGGAATGCCAGCAAGACAGAACCATTCACTCCTCTGGAAAGGGGGCTGAAGCCAGGGAGCCAAGTGGTCTAGCTCAGTGGATCCCAACCATATGGAGTCCAGCAAGTTAAGATCCACTGGCTTGAAATTCTCGCTGCCACCACAGCAGTCTGAAGTCGACCTGAGATACTTGAGCTTGGTGGGGGGAGGGGTATCCACCATTACTGAAGTTTGAGTAGGCAGTTTTCCCCTCACAGTGTAAACAAAGCCGCTGGGAAGTTCGGACTGGGCAGAGCCCACTGCAGCACCGCAAAGTCCCTGTAGTCAGACGGCCACTCTAGATTCCTCCTCTCTGGCAGGGCATCTCTGAAAGAGAGGCAGCCCCAGTCAGGGCCTTATAGATCAAACTCCCATCTCCCTGGGACAGAGCACCTGAAGAAAGGGGTGGCTGTGGGCGCAGCTTCAACACACTTAAACGTTCCTGCCTGCCGGCTCTGAAGAGAGCAATAGATCTCCCAGCACAGTGCTTGAGCTCTGCTAAGGGACAGACTGCCCCCTCAAGTGTGTCCCTGACCCTCATGCCTCCTGACTGGGAGACACCTCCCAGCAGGGGTCGACAGACACCTCATACAGGGGAGCTCTGGCTGGTGTCTGGCAGGTGCACCTCTGGGATGAAGCTTCCACAGGAAGGAACAGGCAGCAATCTTTGCTGTTCTGCAGCTTCTGCTGGTGATATCCAGGCAAACAGGGTCTGGAGTGGACCTCCAGGAAACTCCAGCAGACCTGCAGCAGAAGGGCCTGACTGTTAGAAGAAAAACTAACAAACACAAAGGAATAGCATCAATATCAACAAAAAAGGACGTCCACACAGAAACCCCGTCAAAGGTCACCAACATCAAAGACCAAAGGTAAATAAGTTCATGAAGATGAGGAAAAACCAGCTCAAAAAGGCTGAAAATTCCAAAAACCAGAACACCTCTTCTCCAAAGGATCACAATTCCTTGCCAGCAAGGGAACAAAACTGGTTGGAGAATGAGTTTGACAAATTGACAGGAGTAGGCTTCAGAAGGTGGGTAATAATATATTCCTCTGAGCATGTTCTATCCTAATGCAAGGAAGATAAGAACCTTGAAAAAAGGTTAAAGAAATTACTAACTAGAATAACCAGTTTAGAGAAGAATATAAATGACCTGATGCAGCTAAAATACACAGCACAAGAACTTTGTGAAGCATACACAAGTATCAATACTCGAATCAATCAAGCAGAAGAAAGAATATNTTTGAGGGTAAAGTTAATGAAATAAAGCATGAAGACAACATTACAGAAAAAAAGAATGCAAAAGAATGAACAAAGCCTCCAAGAAACATGGGATTGTGTAAACAGATCAAACCTATGTTTTACTGATGTACCTAAAAGCGACAGGGAGAATGGAACCAAGTTGGAAAACATACTTCAGGATATTATCCAGGAGAACTTCCCCAACCTAGCAAGAAAGGCCATCATACAAAGATACCCCTTGAGGAGAGCAACACCAAGACACATAATTGTCAGATTCACCAAAGTTGAAATGAAGGAAAAAGGGCAGCCAGAGAGAAAGGTCAGGTTACTCACAAAGGGAAGCCCATCAGACTAAAAGTGGATCTCTCTGCAAAAACCTTACAAGCCAGAAAAAAGTGGAGGCCAATATTCAACATTCTTAAAGAAAAGAATTTTCAACCCAGAATTTCATATCCAGCCAAACTAAGCTTTCTTAGCAAAGGAGAAATAAAATCCTTTACAGACCAGCAAATGCTGAGAGATTTTGTCACCACCAGGCCTGCCTTACAAGAGCTCCTGAAGGAAGCACTAAATATGGAAAGGAAATAGCAGTACCAGCCACTGTGAAAACATACCAAATTGTAAAGACCATCAACTATGAAGAAACTACATCAACTAACAGGCAAAATAAATAGCTAACATCATACACAATAGTAAAGACTTGAAACTGACCCAAATGCCCATCAATGATAGACTGGATAAAGAAAATGCGGCATATATACAGCATGGAATACTATGCAATCATAAAAAACGATGAGTTCATGTCCTTTGCAGGGACATGGATGAAGCTGGAAGCCATCATTCTTGGCAAACTAACACAGGAACAGAAAACCAAACACTGCATGTTCTCACTCATAAGTGGGAGCTGAATAATGAGAACATATAAACACATGGAGGGGAACATCACACACTGGGGCCTGTTGTGGTGTAGGGGGCTGGGGAGGGATTGCATTAACAGAAATACTTAGTATAGATGACAGGTTGATGGGTGCAGCAAACCACCGTGGCACGTGTATACCTATGTAACAAACCTACACGTTCTGCCCATGTATCTCAGAACTTAAAGTATAATAAAATAAAATGACAAGACTCTTGTCAACTTGTTTTGTTGTGGGAACAAAGAAGGTTTGCACTGATAAGGCAGCATCATCAGCAAAAGCATTTTCCAGGTATGACTGGAGCTGAGCCCTGCTGTTGCTTTACTCGGTTTTTGACATGTTTATGATTGTGAGAATAAAAAGAAATGCAGAAGCGTGGAAGGCAGACACACTGCACTTAAGCTCTGATGTAGTCGGAAAAGCAACCGACCTCCAAGCCAGTACAATCCTCAAATGTAGATGTTGCCTGGGAAAGTAGACTCTGAAATCTTCAATGTCCTTAGATGTTCCATTGTATTTTTCTGTGACTCGGTCTTGCTTCTCTAAAGCGCCTATCAGTAAAGAGCGTTTGGGGTCTTTTGATAAAATAAAATTGATAAGTGAATAATATTATTTGAATCAAACGCAGTTTAATACATGAGTGCTCTTTAATGCTATTCAAGGAACATCACTGTCCACATTTTAAAATTAATATTTTAAAATAAAATCAGTGGGGAAATCTGGCTAATTTTAAGCAATGTTATATTTTCATAAGTTATCAAGAAAACAATATGCTTGGTATGGAAAGTTATTTATTCTTATAAATAAAAATATAGGCCAAAAAAAAAACCCATAAAGAAACAAAAACGTAAGAGCTTGGACACAAAGAAAAGAATCTTAAAAATCAGATTAAAGATAAGGGATAATTATAGACCACGTTTTTGAACAGCAATTTACTTCCCTGCCACTAGATGGGGCTCACTAGTTGAGGTTATTCCCCTTCCAGATTTGCATTTTGTGTCAGACAACGTGGAGAATTCAAATGGGATTTGAGTTTAGCATTTTAAAAGATAAGTTATTGGAAGGTATTCAATGGGAATCCTAATAAGATTGACTTTTTTGTTGACCACAATAGCCTTATTGAGCAAAGCTAGCTTTATCCCAATTTAACATGAAATAGGTCACTATTAGAAAAGACAGCTTTATTGTGTTTGTATTTGGGATTAACGGATAAAATAAATAGTTCTTTTCTTCCCACAGGGGTTGATGGGCCAGCTTTATTCTAAATGACTGAAGACTTCTGTTCTTTTCAACAAACACAGTCCTCCAATTAGGAGCTGCAAATAAGATTATATGCCCTGAATAAGTCTGAAAAGGTCCTTTTATAATTAGAAAGTTTGTGTGTGGGAAGTGGAAGCAGCATGAAATGCTCACTGTGGCTTTATTAAAAGAGTGACATGAAGATTTTCCCAAATCCTCATCTGAGTGCTCTAAAATGATCAAATAAAAATTATGAAAACCAGCAAGTGTATTCCATTTCTTTATCTTTCTGCAAGCTTTCACATTTACGCTATAGAAACAAGTCAATGGTTTTTAAAATTTTATCAGGCATATTCAAAACAGACTGTCATTTGATAGTGTACAGATTGTTAAAATACAAGTGAAGATAATTTTAATGAAGGAATGAAGTTTAATAGCTCTTTTAAACAGTGCATATTTCATATTTTCATTTAAGTACTTTTATGATTGTCACTCCATCACTACGGTGACATAATATTTTGTTAAATATGGTTGGGCTTAACTTACATTAAGCTTCCTCGTCTGTGGACACACAGGAGCGATTGTGCTCAGCTACTCTTCTAGATCAACCAGGCTTTAGTATGTAAATGGACATTTCCTGGATGAATCAACGCCCACACCCCACAAACACACACACACACACACACACACACACACACAAACACACACACTTACACTGCACTCGAGACTCAGTAACATACAGCCCTTACAGCTTCACAGAAGAAAAATGCAGCCACACAAAGCTGCCTGCTGGACAGAGCTTCCTCTGAGCTAAGACGAGATGACAAGATTGGCAAGAAAGAGGAGGAGCTAAGAGACTGGATAATAAAAGGGTAACAACAATTCCAGGCATGGAGGATAGAGCAACATCCAATCTTGGGCTCAGCCACTTCCACAAATATATTTTTAGTGCTTACAAAGTGCCAGACATTGTCCGTGGGCTGGAGATACCGCAGTGGATGGAACAGAGATCCCTGTCCTCATAGGGCTGACATTCTAGACTCTCTGAACTGTGTGACTCCAGTGGATTGTTACTTTTTCTAGTTGAAATTATGAAAACAAATTATTATTCAGAGATAAAATTATGTAACAACATTGAATGTGCTCTTTCCAGCTACCTTCTTTCTACCTCACTCCTACCCCATCCAGAAATTTAGACATACTCCTCTCTCTAGGAATTACCATGCCACATAGGCAATAAATATGGTTAGCTACTGGTCTGTTCTACTGAGAGAACTTTTATGTCTAGATGGAACCATAGGCTTTATATCATAGCAAGGCGTAATTTTGACCAATGGTTCTAAGTCCTGGTTGCACAGTAGAGTCTTCTGGGGGAACTTTATAAAAACACCTAATGCCTATGATTCCTTGAATATGACACCAACAGCATAGGAAACAGAAGCAAAAGTAGACAAATGGGACTGAATTGAAGTAAAAAGTTTCTGCATAGCAGAGGAAACAATCAGCAGAGTGAAAAGGCAACCCATGGAATGGGAGCAAATATTTGCAAATCATATATCTGATAAGGGGTTAGTATGCAAAATATGTAAGAAACTCATACAATTTAATAGCAAAAAAATCAATCGCCTAATTTAAAAATGGGCAAATGACTTGAATAGACATTTCTCCAAAGAAGGTATACAAATGGTCAACAGATGTATAAAAAGATGCTCAGCATCACTAATCATCAAAGAAAGGTAAATTGAAACCACAATGAAATACCACCTGACACCAGTGTGGACAGCCATTATTTAAAACAAGAAAGGAGAAGAAAAAACAGAAGGCAAGAAAAGAATAAATGTTGGTGAGGAAATGGAGGAACTGGAACCCTTGTACACTGAGAGAAGCTGCTGTGAAAAACAGTATGGAGATTCCTCAAAAAATTAAAAATAGAGCTACCATATGATCCAGCATTCCCATGTCTGGGTATTTATGCAAAAGAACTGAATGAAATCAGAATCTTGAAGAGATATTTGCCCTCCATGTTTCTTTTTTTTTTTTTTTTTTTTTTTTTTTTTTTTTTTTTTTTTTTTTTTTTTTTTTTGAGACAGAGTTTCACTCATGTTACCCAGGCTGGAGTGCAATGGCGCGATCTCGGCTCACCGCAACCTCCGCCTCCTGGATTCAGGCAATTCTCCTGCCTCAGCCTCCTGAGTAGCTGGGATTACAGGCACACGCCACCATGCCCAGCTAATGTTTTATATTTTTAGTAGAGACGGGGTTTCACCATGTTGACCAGGATGGTCTCGATCTCTTGACCTCGTGATCCACCCGCCTCGGCCTCCCAAAGTGCTGGGATTACAGGCTTGAGCCACCGCGCCCGGCGCCCTCCATGTTTCTTACAGCATTACTCACAATAGCTAAGAGGTAGAAACAACCTAAAGCTGATGAATGGATATAGAAAATGTGGTGTGTGCATCCAATGGAATATTATTCAGCTTTAAACCAGAAGGAAATCCTGACACGCGCTACAACACGGAAGGACTAGAGGACATTATGCTATATGAAATAGGCCAGTCACAGAAAGACAAATACTATATGATTCCATGGATATGAGGTATCTACTAAAGCAGGCAAACTCATAGAAGGAGAAATTTGAATGGTGACTACCAAGGGCTAGTGAGAGTGAGAAATGGGGAGCTGCTGTTCAATGTATAGACTTTCAGTCACACAAGATGAAAAATGTCTAGAGATTTGCACAACAGATGTGTAACAATGGGCAGTAGTTAAGAATACTGTACTGTACACTTAAAAATTTGTTGAGAGGGTGTATTTCACGTATGTTGTTGTTTTTTTACTATAATAATAATTTTAAAAAGCAAGCAAACAAAGAACACCTAATGCCTGGCTCCACTCTAACCAATTAAATCAGAATTTCTGGGAGTTGGGTGTTGGGCATCCCTTTGTTGTTTCTGATATCGTTGCTTTTCCTCTTTTAGCTGTGCACATTAGAGAGCCACATGCTAAAGAAAAATCTCTATAAAACATTATCTTCTTCTTCTTCTTCTTTTTTGAGACAGGGTCTCACTCTGTCACCCAGGCTGGATGGCAGGGACTCATCTCGGTTCACTGCAACCTCAATCTCCTGAGTTCAAGCAATTCTTTTACCTCGGCCTCCTAAGCAGCTGGGATCACAGGCATGCACCACCACACCTGGCTAAAACTTTTTTTGTATTTTTTTGTAGAGATGAAGTTTCTCCATGTTTCCCAGGCTGGTCTTGAACTCCTGAGCTCAAGCAATCCTCCCACCTCAGCCTCCCCCAGTGATGGGATTACAGGAATGGGCCACTATCTTCTTTTTTAAAATCTCCATCCCATGTGCCATATTTGCTCTCTAATAATAACCATAATACTTAAAAATACCTATTTTGATCAGTGGCACCGTTGTCTTTCAAGTTACCTGCCTAGAAATGTGGGTGTTGTCCTAAACTCACTCTGACTGCCAGTCATCAATGGTGTTAATTCTACATCTTAAAGATCTATCCATTCCTCAACCCCAACCACATCTTTAGGATGGATTTTACCATTTCTAAAACTGAAATCTAATGGTTTCTCCATCTTTGAACAATTTCACCAAATGGCCTAACTTTCAGAATGAACTTTAAACCAAAGCTAATGTGCCTCTTTTGCCAATTCTATCCACTGAAATAGAAGGAAGGAGGGTCAACTGAAAAGAGGTAAGCTTTACATAGTATATTTTGTATTCCTATCATTCACCTTTCTTTCTGAGTACTAATACAATTAGGGTTTGGGTTTTGATTGGGCCTTGCTATTCTAAATGTTGCAATTGATTTCTATACGGCTATGCATGTCCTGCCCAAGTTTACATGATCTTACCCTAGCTGGCTGCTCAATCTCAGCTTTACACACAAGCAATGCTCCATCATTTCCAACCTCCTCTCATCTCCTCAGATGAGCCATCTCTCCCTGGCATTTGAACATTTGCACAGCTTGTTCAAACCCGCTATCATCTCCCTCCTTCTTGCCCTTCGCCAGCTCACTAATTCCTCTCTAGACTTCGGGATCAGCTTACGTATTACATTGGCTTAGGACTGGAAACAGGGGTGTCATAGCAATAGATGATAGAACAAAGATGGCAGGCAGTGCCCATTGACTTTTGACGCTTTGCACCTTCATTTCCAAAGCTGCCTTCTTGAAGTCATTCTGGCCAGCTTCATAGCGTTTATAGGACCCCCTCATCCCCTTGTCTTTTACAGGTTACCCAAAAAGGAATGTTCTAGAGGAAATGGCACAAAGCCATAGAATTTTAATTGCAGTTTGGAATTACAAATGTGAGTAATCCAAAGTTTGCAAAATTTGTAAAACTGAGAAATTACTATGCATTTTTTAACAATGGCAAGAATGGTTGCCAGTAGGTCCACACAAACACATGAGTTATATGTAAATACAGGAAGCAACTTTTCTCACCCATCCCCAACCACTGAAACCAAAGCCAATAAACTCCTGTTGGCTACTATCCACTAAAATTGGAGGGGGAGAGGTCAAATGAGAAGAGGTAAGATTTATACAGCATGTTTTGTATCCCTGTAATTAATATTTCTTTCTGAGTACTAACCAAATTGGAGTTTGAGTTTTAAGTGGGCCTTGCTGTTCTAAATGGTACAATTGATTTGGATATTGCTATTGATTTGGTTTTTGGGCTATTATCTATTTGACAACCAGGAAGAATGATCTTCTTTGAATCTGATCTGCCAGATTTGATTCCCAAGGAATGATGAACATCCATTAGAGGGTCCATATATATTGATGAGCAAAAGGGTGCTGAACTGCATACTCTGTAATTATATCCACAATTGCTTCCACATTTAAAACAAGTTTTGTTATTATTTGCATGCATCATTGAAAACCAATTATTTATACATGTTGCAATTTTGACTCATAAAAAAATGAACATTTGTTTTATGCTTTTTGAGCAGGGAAAAATGGAATGAATAGAATATAATCAGTTCCCTAAAATTATCAGTTACCAAAAATATTTTCTTTTTTATTCAAAAAGGTCTGTGAAATATGAATGTTTGCATTATTTGGTTTGTTTACTTGCTTGTAGTTATTCTTGTTAAAATTTACAAGCCCAATTATTTGACTATGACATAGGAATTAGGTCCAAATAATTAGAGAAACATTTGCCCATTGGTAATTAAAGTTTCTGGGTGAAAGGAATTTAAAAGATTACATAAGAGATAATAAGTAATATTATCTTCCAGTGAGTAAGTGTTTCCTTGTTCTTTGGAGAGGAAATATTAACTCTTCAATCTTTGTTTTTGCTCATTTTATTCAAGTGTGACTTGGAAGGAAGGCTTAGTTGTAGTTAATAGACACCAATGCATGCCAGACATTGCCATAGAAACTCAGAACACAAAGACAAATAAGAAATACCTCCTTCCTCAAAAAACTTACATTTCAGTGGGATGCAGCATTTAGAAGTTTAAAATATCACATATAGGAAGTTATCTTCTATCCAATATGCTCTCCATCAACACCACGGAAGCCAAGCCCTTGCATTAAGTGTAGGAACGATCATGAATATTTCAGAGGTTACAAAAATGTCTGCAGGCTCACAAAATTTTGGAACTTATGGGGAAAGATTAAATTTGCCGATGGGAACACACAGATGAGCCAAGCTTGCTCATTTCTTCTGCAGCCCCTTCACATATGGAAGACAGGGTAGTAGGGAGGTTTGGAGAAGTTGCATGCACTGGCTCTAGAGTTAGGTTAGAAACAGTCTTTGCTGCCTTTAAGCTTATGACTTTAAGCAACTTACATAGCAACCCCTTGCCTCAGTTTATATTGCTGCAAAACGGAAGTTGACAACTGTCCTCACCCCATGGGACTATTGTAAAGAATGATTGATAACGGGGTCAAAAGGGGCTTAATCAACACAAGCTATTATAATAATCTCATTCACTTCTCTCTCAACCCAAAATCTTCTATATCATTGGAATTCAGCTCTAAATCTATCTCCATTAGGTCCCTTAAGATGAACTCTAGACATTTCCTGAGGCTGGCTTGACAAGGGGAGAGAGATAAATGCTTGCTCACTCTGCCATCAGATTTGAAACGACTTCATTAGTGGTTCATTCGGTTTTGTTTTTGCAGGATTTTTGCTTGTTTTTTGTTTTTGTTTTTTTGTTTGTTTTTTTTTACATACTGCAGGCTTTGGGGGATTTGAAGAAATCCATCTAAAAATGCAGCTTCTCCTGGGAGTGGCCTCTTCCAGTTTTAAGGAGAACAGAGGTGGCAAGTCTATGGCTCTGTGTTAAGGGAAGCAAGGGCTTCACAGCTGCTTTTGTAAACACTGTATTTGGAAAGAAAAAAAAAAAAAACCCTGGCCCAATGCCACCTTTTCCCCCGGTGCCCTGAGAACTGTTGTAGGTCCTTCCCCAAAGCCACATCTGTGAAAGGCAGAACTGGCAGGAACAATCCTCAATGCACAAGTGCCTGGGAAGCCAGGCAGATGACAAGCTCAGGGGAGCCAGGAGAAGAGCGGCCAACCCATCCTTCTATTGGCAGAAACTTCAAGGAAGCAGAGGTTTGTATAGGCCAGAGTATTTTTTTCCCTCTGTCTTAGATCACTGAGGTGAGGAGAATGAAGCACAGTGAAGTGAACACAGAACCAGGTGGCACTTCTTTTCCATCACTGATGTTCTGAATCACATCGCTGCAGTGGGTGACATTGCTATCCACAGGAGAAGAGATGAAATAGAAAAGGTGATGTTTTGTCTGATTAGACTAGCGCTGCTCAGTAGAAAGAATGTGAGGCACAAATGTGAAGGTGTCATTTTAAACTTTCTAGTAACTCATACCTAAAAAGAGGGGAAAGAAAGAGGAATTTATTTTAATAAAGTATTTTATTTAACACAACATATCCAGGATACCATCATTTCATCAAGCAACCAATTGAAAAATTGTTAATAGAGCTTTTACCTTCCTTTTTACTAAGGCTTCAAAATCTGGTGTGGATTTTATACCTACAGCACATTGCAGTTGGGACCAGGCACATTTCAACAGCCTCATGTGCCTAGTGGCTATCATTTTGGACAGAAAAGGACTCAACTCATCTTTGAAAGTTAAGATAAAGCAGAAACTTCGTGATCGTTAGACCAATATAGTGCTCTCCATTCGAGTGCATTGGGACAATCTGAGATTCATCTTATAAATTAGAGGCTTTTCAGCTCCAAGCTATGAACTGTCACTTGCTCTCTCTTCTGCCAGCAGGAGGCAGCGGCCACTTGGATCCCAAACCCCTGGTCTTCAGCCTCACCTAAGAAGTATGTTTTTCGTCAATTTCTTTCCATTTCTTAGAGTTCCCAAGGAGTTCAGTGTTACAGCTTCCTGGGGCATTCACACCTACTTTTAAGAGTTTCCAGGTCTTTCCCACAAAAGGCCATGCAGGTAAGGGTCAAGAGCTGGAGAAGTGGCAGATGTACTTTGTAAACAATGCAGCAAATGCAGAGACTGGATTATGTAAGCAAGTCCTTGCCAAGGGGCAGGAATGGGCAGAGGAGGCCTTCACCCAGCGCCCCAGGCTTTGCTTTCCTTCCCTTCCAATGATCCCACACCGTCCTCAGGAATCCGTAATCTATGGTGAATACCTTTCTCCTGATCACTTTCCCAGTCTCAGAGTGGTCCCTTTGAAGCCATCTGCTCTGGACTCTGGCTTTCTCTACAGCTCACAGAGAGGTTCCTCATTTTCCCGTACCTCCAGAGATCCTACCAGTCTCAGCCCAGAGGTCTCCACCTTAAGGAAATCTTTGATTGACCCACAACTAGAACAGGTGTGAGATAGCCGTGCATTCTTCTTAGCTCCCAGTGGTTTTCTCTTAATTGTAGCACCTCTCACATTTTATAATTATGGTCAACTTAGGTGATTGTCTAATTGTACAATAATCTATTCCACCATATGCTTTCTGTAAACAGAAAATGGATCTGTTTTGCCCATGTTTAATAGGGATAATATGAAATGTTAGCCCCTCTTCCCCAACCCATCAAGCCCTATCATGGGTTTGTTTATTTATTTATTACAGACAGGGTCTTGCCCTGCCACCCAGGCTGTAGTGCAGTGGCATCATCACGGCTTGCTGCAGCCTCAGCCTCCTGGGCTCAAGCGATTCTCCCACCTCAGCCTCCTGAGTAGCTGAGACTACAGGTGTGTGCTACCACGCCTGGCTACTTTTTAATTTTTTGTGGAGATGGGGCCTTGCTATGTTGTCCATATCAGTCTTGAATTCCTGGGCTAAGGTGATCCTGCCACTTCAGCCTCCCAAAGTGCTGGGATTACAGGTGTGAGCTACCTGGCCAGGCCCTTATCCCTTATCATGAGTTTAATACTGTCCTAAACTCAGAGAAACCAGTCCCCACCCTCAAATAAATATTCATTCAATGGTTTTTCTTCTCCTTGTTTTATGTTTATATTTAAATTTACACAGCTCTCCTCTGGTTCCTGAAGCTGCCTCGCGGGTAGGCATAGCCCCCTTTGCACTGTATTTGTTTCTCTTCCCCCAGCACCCAGGTTTTCCCCTCCTCCCCCAAATCCCTGCTGAACACCTGCCTCCTACCTCCTAGCTCCTCTGATATTTCAAAGACGCCCTATAATTTTTTCTTTGTCCTGTGGATAGACCAAGAACTCTGAGTTTCCATTGCTATATTCTTGAAGGGAAAGAAGACATACCCTGAAATCTTTACCTTTTATTGTGAACAACTACAAAATCACATCAAAATGCTTAAGAGAAATATTGGCAAATTAAAAAGACAGACCAGGAGCAACTTGATGTCAAGGCAACTATAAGTTCCTGTATTTCATGAGTCAGCCTGGGCTTCATTTTTTACTATTTCTGCCTGTAGCTATGACTTGTTTCAAAATCCTACCAAATACATTAAGAATTTAGAAAGCCTCATGCCGGCTTCCTATTTTCCACAGATGACAGTAAACTAAAAGTCCTCCAGAGACATTTTGGTCATAGAATATTATTGCAAAAGAGTCATTCAGCCTACTGCCAGCAAAGAGCTCTTGTCTGGAAAGACCTAGTGCCAGACACAGTGGCTTTGGATGATGGTCCTTCTGGTTTCAATGAGCATCATGAGTCACTGAAAATAAATCTCCGGGCAGCTTAAGGGGTCTGATTGCATGTAGATCCATGCTTGTGAATGCCAGTACTAGGGAGGATGAAATGTGTGTCAGCTACATAACAAAAGGAGGTTGGCCGGATGAACAGGATGTGCTCTTGGAGAGAAGATTTGAAGGTTTTCTTGGTGGTTTGCAGAGAAAACAACAACAAAATGAAACTCAGACTGGCCTGCACAGACCTATTTTTAGCCAGTACTTTTATAGCATTTTCACGTCAATCTTCTGAGACAGACAGAGTAAGAACATCGTAGCCATTGTACAGATGGGGAAACTGAGTCTAAGACCTGTTGAGGGACTAAGAGTAGCAAACAAATATTTATTCAGACTTGTAGTATTTTCCCACTTCATTCACTATTCAATATTATCTTATCTCTCAGTTTTACTTTTACACTTAAAGCCAAAATGTATTAACATAGAACGACTGTATGCAGAGGACTGCTTACACACAGAAAAGGTGCTATCTTTTAATTGCATTTTGCAAGTGACTTGAAAATTTCCTTAACCTACTAATACGATCTGGGAAGTTTGCTGAAGGGTGTGGTAATCATGTGCGTTTCTGCAGATTATGAGACTGTTTTTATACATGTACAATGGCATAGAACAGGAAAATATAATTACTTGTAACCAGATCTTTTGTTGTCTTGATATTTTTTTCAGCAAGTTGTCCTAGAAAGCAGGCAAAGGGAGAAAAAGAGAATGTGTACAAAGAAAATACACTTTTTCACTCAGAAAAAAATGGCAGCATTATAAGGAAGAACCAAACACACACACACACACACACACACACAAATACACACATACGTATCCCTTCTTCTTTTCCTGTATGACTTAATAAAAACTCAAAAGCAGCTTCTGCAAACAGTAGACCATTCCAGGGGAAAAGCCAGTGCCCAGAGCACTCCCAACCTGATCAATCAAACTCTAGACCTAAAGCACAATTGAGCCATTTTCTTTTTATTACAACAATTCATAAAATTTGGAAGAGAAAAACCCATCTGTAATCTTACCAGCCCACATGACTATTTCTAGTTTTGCAAATTTCCTTCTAGTTTTTCTTAACATGTATATTTTTTCTAAAGTCCCTCACATGTAGTCATTTTTTTTTTGAATTGCATCAAGTACTTCAGAAGAAAATAAATTTAAATATCATCATACTCTTGCATTTGTGGTGGCCATTTTGTATTTACTTTGGAAGTTATTTCAGAACCTTTTTTTTTTTTTTTTTGAGACAGGGTCTTGCTCTGTCGCCCAGGCTGTAGTGCAATGGTATGATCTTGGCTCACTGCAACCTCCACCTTCCAGGTTCAAGTGATTCTCATAGCTCAGCCTCCAGAGTAGCTGGATTACAGGTGTGCACCACTACGCCCAGCTAACTTTTTGTATTTTTAGTAGAGACAGGATTTCACCATGTCAACCAGGCTGGTCTTAAACTCCTGGTCTCAAGTGATCCATCGCTTCCCAAAGTGCGAGGATTACAGGTGTGAGTCACCATGCCCGACCTATTTTAGAACTTTATGTTTTAGGCAAAAGTTTCTGCTTCACAAGTTGTACTCAAGTTAAAGAGAACTTATTACTATTGTCCTCAGGTCCCACATGGAGCCCAGAGTTTGGTCAAAATGTAAATTTATGTGACAACATATATTCCATAATAATTTCCTTCTCTCACTTTTAAATGCCCATCATTTGTATTAACAAATTGAAACTTACTGTCATTACTTCAGAGTAAAGGGTCATCCAGGTAACATTAATAGATGCTGTGTATACATGATTGATGACTGACAGTTTGTACCATTGGATCATACTGTTTGGTGTTTAAATAGTGCCAGGGTCCAAGTGATTAAATTCCACTAAAGACTTGGTCATTTTAGACAAAGTAGCCTCATTTACAGCATCTGGTTTGCATGATCACTCAGCCCCTCTCATGTAGTATTCTTGAGAGCAGGATTAGGAGGCTAACAACTGCATCCCCAGGTATGACATTTCAGAGTTGAATTTGATACTTGGATCTCACAAATGGATTCTCAAAAAACATATCAATTGGTTTTTTGGTTTTTTTTTCTTTTTTTTTTTATTGCATTTTAGGTTTTGGGGTACATGCGAAGAACATGCAAGATTGTTGCATAGGTACACACATGGCAGTGTGATTTGCTGCCTTCCTCCCCATTGCCTGTATCTGGCATTTCTCCCCATGCTATCTCACCCCAATTCCCCACCCCCACCGTCCCTCCCCTATTTCCCCCTGACAGACCCCAGTATGTGATGCTCCCCTCCTGGTGTCCATGTGTTCTCATTGTTCAACACCCACCTATGAGTGAGAACATGCGGTGTTTGATTTTCTGTTCTTGTGTCATTTTGCCGAGAATGATGGTTTCCAGGTTCATCCATGTCCCTACAAAGGACACAAACTCATCGTTTTTTATGGCTGCATAGTATTCCATGGTATATATGTGCCACATTTTCCCTGTCCAGTCTATCATCGATGGGCATTTGGGTTGGTTCCAGGTCTTTGCTATTGTAAACAGTGCTGCAATGAACATTCGTGTGCATGTGTCCTTATAGTAGAAAGCTTTATAATCCTTTGGAT